TTTAAAAAATAACATGAAGTATTCACATCAAAAAATTTTAAAAAAAATGTGGTTTTCCTAACCAAATTATGATACATTTGGTTAAAAAAAGTGATAGCATTGGTTAAGTCAATTATAAGTTAAAGTAAAAGCCTTTGATGATTTTGTAAATTTAAAATTTTCATTGAGACAATATCCAATTAAATAGATGAGGAAAAGTTGAGGGTAATTTGGTTTGACAATGCGAAAACCTGCAAAAATATATGTTTCATCACTTGTACCAATACAACAAATCCAACTTTTGATATTTTAATAACAAAAGATACCAATAGAAATTATGATTAAAGTTTAATTCCATCCAACATCTCCCTTATTTATCAATTTATCAGCCGCTATAAAAGCTCATTGAAAAAAAGGGAGCTGTTTTCTCAATATAACGTCTAAGTTTAAAATCCTCCTCCCAACAATTGTACTTGTTTGAACAAGAGTTGCCAATTTACTTAGGAAACTACTAGTGTGCCCAATAAATAAATATGCAATGCATCACACAATGGTTGTGCGAATTACATACAATAGAGTTCAAATGACTAGCTAGAAATGCTTGCTCTATTTGCATGATGAGTTAACTGGGGAAAGGCGAGAGGGGAGACTTAGCTTGCTCCTTTCCAATATGGATATAAATCCAATCTAGAGGCACATGATTTATACCATTATGTGATATTTTGTGCTTGATTTTTTTAAGAATTACATGTAAATAAATTTATATAAATAGATTTATATTTACTTATTAGATTTTATATTATATGATATAAATTATTATATAAAAAACATTGTTTCATAGGGTTGTGTGTATATATATGACTACTTTTTACACAATAATTTCAATTTAAACTTGAATAAGTTTTCAGTTTTTATTTTGAAAATTATTTCTTAACTAAAATTAAAAAAATTAAAATTATTCATATATAAATAAAAAAATAATTAACACACAACTTTTGTTATACAACTTTCAAGAGATTGCTGCGTTGCTGGTGACAAAAGGTGTGAGAAAATTCCTCGGAAATGTCGCTTTTTCCCATTTGTCAAAACAATAATTGTTTTGGCACGGCGGCTATGACTTAAAGGTTTGGGGAACCTTCTGGGGAAATGTGCCTTGTTCTCATTTGTTAGGGGTGGGTAAAAACCGGTTTTAAAATAACCGAATTTTTTTTTTTAATTTTGAAAACTGAAACCGAAATTAAAATTTTTACAAATTAATCTGCTCAGTTATCAATAAAATTAATTCGGTCTTTATTTTTTAAAATAAATATTAATTAATTATTTTTTTAATAATAAATTATATTTTATCACATATTTTATTATATTTATCTTAATTTCAATTTTCAAAGAGTTTATTTTCAATTTTTAATTTTTAAAAGATTCAACCAAAATCAAACAAAAATTTATCTGATTAATATCAAAGCCAAAAAAATAAAAATCAAAAACCATTAAAATCAAACCTAATTCATTTTTTTGATTCAATTTTTGAGTAAACCATTTGTTCGATTTCAAATGTACAACCCTACCATTTGTCAAGCAACATTCGTTTTGGTACCGTGGCTAGGATATCAGAGTGTTTATCAAAGCATATATTAATAGTATATTAATTATATATTTTATTAATGTAAAAATTAATTTTATTTTTAACACTCATAACATATTCAGAATTTTAATTAAATAATTTAATAAAATTAAATTGAATTTACCCTAACACATGCCTAAAATTAAAAAATCCAATAAAAAAATATACGACACTTGCGTGGAAGTCAAAATCAAAGACAAAAACAAAAGGGTTGTTCTGGAGAATGTAATTTTGCATAGTTCTGTTGAGAGAAAAAAAAAAAGAGCAAAAACTCGAGCTTAATGAGCTTCATTGCTTGTAATGTAAATCACTGTTTTGAAAACCAAATCGGATCGATTGGTTGGATTGATTGAATCGAGACCAGGTATGATAAACAATACAGATGAGTATTTAGAATAAGTGAAACGATTGAACCATTCAAAACTTGTAGATTCATTTAAACCAATATAAACCATCAAACCATTCAACTAGTATTGAAAAATTTTCTTTGATTTGCCATATCCAGGATTTGAATGCAAGAACTATGAAAGATATTTCAAGCTTTCTGCCACTAGGAGATCATCTCACTTTGATATGATTACCTTGAAATTTTATTTATTTTATTTTTAATCAGCTGAATTTCTTCTCAACGCAATATCATTGACTTTCATGTTTAAAATTAATATAATATTTATCTAATTTTTATTTTAAATATATAAATTAAAAGTGTAATGAATATAATTTTTTTATAAATAATTTATATAAAAAATTATAAAAATTAATATTTAGGTTAAACTCCTATTTTGGTCCCTCAATTATTGTACGGACCCCCGATTTAGTCCCTCAACTCAAAAAATCCCTAATTTAGTCCCTACTGTTTACAATTTTTCCCTGATTTGGTCCCTCTGTTAAAAATCACTGACTTGGCACGTTATGTGACGAAAGAACGATGACACATCAAAACAAATTAACACAGCGTGGCAAAAAATGATGACATGTCAAATGAAATAACAATTGTGCCCTTATAATTAAACTAAATTATAACTTTGCCCTCAGATGAAATAACAATTTTGCCATCATCTTCTTCCTCTCATCTTTTCATCCTCCAAAATAAGCAGCACAGCATCGACTCTAAAAATTGGCAAATCAACATACTCCCAACAAATTACATCTTTTAAAAGTAACTTGTTTTTCTTTTATTCTCTTAATTATATTCTTAATGGCTGTTGAAAGTTACAGAACCCAAGTAAAAACCCATCGACCTACCTTCTCGATAGTATAGCAATAAAAGCATACCCACTTCTTAGAGAAACAAGAATCAAGAGAATAAAATAACTAAAATAAGAAAGCTACAAAACCCAGATCTATAATAAAGAAACCCAGATCCATAGCAAAAGGGGAAATAAAGATTAAAAGATAAGGAATGGAAATTGTTGCATAAGAAATTGGATGCGTTGTTGAAAAAATTTCCAACAAATCTCTTCACTGTCTTTAGCAACCCAGCGGCACCTGCTGGGTTCATTGATTGAACCCAAGAGGAACCCAGCAACGTTGCTGGGTTCGATCGATGAATGAACCCAACGGCGCCACTGGGTTCATTGATCGAACCCAGCAATGTTGTTGGGTTCCTTATGGGTTCAATCGATGAACCCAGCAGGCGCTCCTGGGTTCGATCGATGAACCCAACAGCACCTGTTGGGTTCATCGATTGAACCCAGTAGGCATCAATCAAACCCAAAGCCCCTAAGACCAACAAACGAGGATCTAGGGGAAGATGATGAATGCTAGAGATGAAAATGAAGGGGGAACGAAAGGAAAATGGAAAGAAATTGGAAAGAAATTGATGTGTGGTTGAAGATGAGGGTAAAAAGATAATTTTAGTTTTATAATTAATTTTAGATATTTTAATTTTTATTGAAAATTACATGTCAAGTTTTTTTGCTATGCTGTCAATCCTACATGTCAAAATATTTTTACATGTCATCATTTTTTGTCAACTAATGGGACATGTAAGTAGATTTTTAATGGAGGAACC